TATCATCTTGATAATGAATGTTGAGAATTACAATTGATAATAGTTAAAGATTTTCAATAAAAACGTTTTATAAATCAAATTGATTTATCGCTACTTTTTAATGTTATCATAGTAAAATCGAGTCGCTCGATGACATTATAGAGAGTCATGACCACAAAAATATTGAGAACCGCTGACCTAAACTATCCATATGGTCGCCATAAAGGGTGCAAGGGTACATTTGTACATTTGAAAAAAACGAACGAAAAAAATAACTAATTTAATATAAGTGTGTAAGGTGTGGTATATAAGTGGAAGATGTAAATGGAGTGCTGTGAACGGTATAAAAAGGAAAAAAACATCAAACATTTATTTTTTTTAATAATTTTTTAAAACTGATCCTTTAAAATTATATATATCGCTAATTATGACAATATTAGAAAAAACAATATCAATCCCTTAATGCAACAGAGTGCACAATATTTTTTGTTATCCCATCTTTCACCACAAACAAAATGGATGGTTCAAAAGCAGGCCACGTATAATTGTCCGTGTGAAACACATGATGTTCTCAAATCTAAGCCACAGACAGACATCGTTTGACCTTGAGACTTATTGATAGTCATTGCAAATGCCAATCTAATTAGAAATTGAAGGCGTTTAAATTGTATTGGCACATCTGTAGGTATAATAGGGATTCGCGGTAATAATATGTTTTCACATCGGAATTTGCCATTTAAAATGATGGCTTCGATAACATTTTTCATTAATTTTTTAATGACTAATCGCGTGCCGTTGCACAACCGTGGTGGGTTCAAATTACGAAGCAAAATAACCGGAAATTCAACCTTCAGTTGTAAATTATGCGGTGGCTTGCCCGGTAAATCCAATGAGTTTAAAAACTCTGTTGGATTACAGCTTCAGTAGCATCGCAAACTGTATCAATAGATTTGTATGACACCAAATCTCCTGGTAACCAATGTTGTATCTTGAGATTCAATTCGTTAACGTCTACATTTTTCGCTGCTAAAATTGCTTTTCCTGCAACCACTCATGATTTGTGTATTGTCTATGTAAATTGAGAAATATCTGGTCAATGAGAGCATCTTGCGAATCAATGATTGTGCAGAAATCAGTCGGTAATTTTATGCATCCCATTTCATCTGTAATAACTTTCCCATCACCGATATCTAACAATTGTTTTGAGAATCTTCCGAACGCAGCTTTTTTTTTATTGAATCGCAAGTATCGAAATCGTTTGCTCTCTATCTTTACATACATGTTGACCATGAATTGTTGACAAAGTTCATGACATCGTAGAATAACGTTGTCCTGATCGCGTCTAATCATCAACCGATATGCATAATAATTAGGGCTCGGAACTTAATGCACTTAAAAAGTACTAAATATGCATGCACTTATGCGCTTAAAAGAGTACAAATATGCTCTAAAAATATGCACTTATATTTAATTATTTTACACATTTTCATTAGCACAAATATTTTTTTAAATTTGTTAATAAAAAAAAAGCAAAGTAATAAAAGTTATTTTTATTTATATTTTTTAATCATAATTTAAACAAAAAATAATAAAAAAATCGCTTTAAAAATTAAAAATGTTCCTTGAGTAAAAAAATGCACTTCTGTCGAGTTATATTTATATACCTGAAATACATAACACAAATTACTAAATTAGAAAAACCACCAGGTACATGCCTAATTAAAAAGTATTTTAATTAATAATTAAAATGCATTGGATATAATTTTGTTCTTACCTTCCAAAGTGTTACATTGGACCACTAAACTTTTTTTAATGTTTTCAAAATTGAAAGATCGTCGATTATCCACGAGCAAAGTTTTGTACCTTGAAAAACTACGTTCAACATCAGTTAACGTAATCGGCGCATATTTGAAGTAAGTAATATCGTCACCGGTCAAATCATCAGGAAGACCTTCTATTGAACTTTCTTGTCCACTTAATATTTTTGAAATATTAAGTATCGTTTTAAATCCACAATTTTTCTCCAATACATTATTGAATTTTTGAAATACCGCAACACCAATTTCACCCTCACAGTCGTTTAATTTATTTTGGACATATTTAACTGCAGATAATGCTTCGGATAGTGAAATATATTGTGTTTCAAGTTTCGTAATATATTCCGGTATAAATCCAAAATTTGAATGTATGTATATGCCTATGACTTAAAATTACTATAATTCTATTAAAGTTTAAATAATAAAATAAATATTTGTTTGGGCGTGTGTTCTTAGTGGATGTTTAATGATATTAGTTTATCTAAATTATATTGGAACTGATCCTAGTCCATGGGACCAGAGCTGAGAGTCTGTCTGGTGTTGAGTTCCGGTACTGCCCCACAGTTCAGAAGTACAGGAGTATGATCACTAGATAGCTTGTTTAAGTTTTTAATGTGTGTATTAAGATGCCTCGGAATTTTTGTTAAGAAAAAATCTAATATATCAGATAGTCTATTCGTATGGGATGACCAATAAGTGGGCTCATCGGGAGAAATAAAAGTGATATTGTTTTTTATAATAGGTTAGATTGGAATTTCATGTAATATCAAGTAATACAAAAATTTGGAAATATCAATGACGAATATTATATAGATTTACATCTTTAACTATCTACATAAGTATTTAAAGTAACTATTATTTTTCTATAGTTCCTAATATCATACCTGTTTCGTTTTATGATCCAAAAGAAAGTGTAAATATTATATTTATTAAACATAGTTGCATCTATCTCTTTTCATCTAGTTCTGATAAAATAATTATGAAACATGTTATCGATCAGGACTTAATAATCGAACCGCTTGTAATCCAATACATAATATTATTTGTATTCAATCGCATGTACATCCTCAGTTAATATTTATTCGTACCCAGAAGTTTAACAATAAGTTGCACCTTGTATAAATATGAAAAACACGGAGAATCAAACCTGTGCAAATATTACTGAACACTTTACACTTATGTTTTAGATGTGTTGAGCCATTGAAAATACCAGAATTCAATTCTTGATCATAATAATTCAATTTGAGATTTTTACTAATAAAATAATAAACATTAGCTTCGTACAACTAAATTGATTGGGATAGGTTAGATCACACTTCCTTGTACATTTAAAATATAAAAATATCGAACTAAATAATGTAAAATTAAAACAAACAATAGGAATTCGAGATCTCTAGGTTTTTATAATTTTTACAACTTCTAAATACCAAATACATAATTTATAATTTAAATAAAAAATAAATAAATAATAATATTAATAATAAAAATAATAATAAAAAAAATTTTTATATCTGAAATATACATACTATGAACCGAATTTGTATCGAATCAGAATTTCAACATGCACATTCTAGACAAATATGCAAATGCCTAAAGTTCCGAGCCTTGACAATCATTATTGGATCATACTATTCAGCGTATTCTTATAGTGCAATCTGATGTAATTAAAACATTGCCATATAAACAGTTGAATAAGTTATTTTTAATATCAAAATGGGGTTTTGATGGAAGTTCAGGTTTAAGTCAATACAAACAAAAGTTTGACGACCAACGTAATTTAAATAACGGTAATAGTTCAAACGCCAGTATTTTTACGAGTATAACATCTTTTGTACCTATACAATTGATAAATGGTGATCCTAAATTTACAAATAAAACTATTATATGGCAGAATCCACGACCTTCTTCACCACGATTCTGTAGACCTATAAGACTCCAAGTTTGCCATGAAACTACAGAAATAGCAATTAATGAAAAATAATATATAGAAGCACAAATCAATGACTTAGATTCAACTTCTGTTTTTATACATGAAAAACAATTAATAATCAAACATTTATTGCTGTTTACAATGATAGATGATAAAGTATGCAATGCTATTGCGTCAACAAAGTCGGCTGCAAAATGTTATCTCTGTGGAGCAACATCCAAAAAGTTTAATAATATAAATGTTATTTTAAAAAAAACCAATAACTTTCTCTTATAGTAACTTTGGTTTATCCACATTGCATTCATGGATAAGATTTTTCGAGTGTTCATTATATGTTTCATACAAGCTTGATATCAAAAAATAGCGAGTCAGAGGAGAAGACAAATTAAAAGTAGTTGAACGCAAAAAACGAATTCAAAATGATTTTAAAAACAAAATGAGACTGCTTGTCGATTGTCCAAAATCGGGATATGGAAGTACAAACGACGGAAATTCAGCCCGAAGATTTTTTGAAAATCATAATTTGTCTAGTTCTATAACGGGAATCGATAGAAAAATAATCAACAATTTTAAAGTTGTGTTACAAACTATTTCAAGTGGTTATTATATAAACATAGAAAAGTTCGAAGCGTACACTTTCAAAACTGCAAAATTATTTGTCGAAAAATATCCTTGGTACTACATGACGATAAAAGTTCACAAAATTTTATTACACGGTCCAAAAATAATTAAAGAAATGGCTTTAATTCCAATTGAAATGCTTTCCGAAGAGGCACAAGAAGTTAGAAATAAGGACATCAAAAAATACCGAGAAGGATTTTCTAAAAAATGTTCAAGAAGTAAATCGATGAAAAATATTTTGAATTTGCTTCTCATATCATCTGATACTTTGATATCTAGTATGAGACAACTTCCACGAAAAAAGAATACCAAATTTTCAAAAGAAGTGTTGGATATGCTGTTGTCATCATCGGATGAAATTATTCAACATGAAACTGACACGGATAATGACACCACTAGTGACTCGTACGACGATTCTTTGTCTTCAAATTAATATGATTATATATATATATATATATATATGTGTTATTAAAAATGTATTTTGATGTTAATAAATAGTTATAGTTGAATATAATATTGTTATATAATATTATTACATTTTGGCCACGAAATATCGAAAATACCCCACTGTACGACATCACGCGTCAACGGATGGCCCGATTTCACTAATTCTTTTTTTATTGTGTTTCTTGTAGTTAGGAGAAGGTTCTTATGAAAGAAAAAAATAAGAATAACTTATGTTCCTACGATTATACGTTGTTATGTTTTATCTCTAAAATTTAACCTCGTTATTGCTCTAGTCTAAATATAAGTTTTAATTAAGTTACAAGGATGCGATATAAATCATGATGCATAACAAAACTGATCAGTTCATCATATTATATTAATAAGTTCTAAAACAATATTTCTGAGAACAACAAAGATATCAACAAAATAATATACTTATTTAAATAGGATACTCTAGATCAAAAATGGTAAAATTTTATTTAAGCATAAATGTATTGAAAGTGTACCCAATAATAAAACCCCAGATCTCATTATTGTACAGAAAAATTAATTTAAACATTATATTGCCGTAGAATTGTGCAGTAACCTCTATTTATGCAAACGAATAATAATTGTAAAATAATATTTTCAAAATTCTTCTTTACTTTTATTATAAATGTAAAATAGTCGTCATGGTACAAAAATAACATTTCAAAAAGTAGTGGATTTATATACAAATCAATTACATGCTCTCAAAATTAAAAATATGAACTTATAGTATATTTCATTATAGAATTTAGCACGCGATTATTTAGACCTAAGGTACTATATCGCTGTACATAGACTAATCAAAAAATGACTATGAAATAATAAAATTAAACCAATGTTTTATGTTTTAACTTGTGTTTTATACCTTCATCGGGTGTAATAGAATATCATAAGATACAGATAATATGTTATGAGAAAACTAAATTAAAACGAGCAAGACTTACAATATATTAAACTATAATGGTTCTGTATCTTGACTCCACCCCGCCCCCTAAAAAAAAAAGTTCAAAAACCATAAATTACTTGTCAAGAGGTATGGAAAGAAAGAAAGAGGACATTAATTTATAGCACGTGTTTGTAAATTACTCTTTGTTAAACAATTAACTATAATTTTAATGTTTATTACTTCATTAAAGTGAATATACAAATAGTAATTTATACGAACAAGCACAAAACAAACAAAACGGAACTAAACACAAACTTTGTCTTTGATAACTTCGGATTCTTCAATTCTAATGCAATTTGATGTGTAATTGTCATCAATAATTATCGTGTCAGTTACATTTGATTGGTTTACAATCGAAATGAAATTGATTATGAAACTTGTAGCATCTTCGCAATTATTCTTTAGCATAGATTTTAGACTATCTATAGGGTCAGCGACATGGGTTAAATCCAGAGAATCAATTTTATCCCAATCCAATAGATATTTTTTGTCAATATCAGATAATTTCTCAGTTAACTCTGTGTAATTATGTTCATTTATAGTTTTAATTTCTTCGATTATCAAA